CATTGCACATGGAGAAACTATGAGGCAGAGGTTCACATGAGACTCCACCTCCCAAGTGGATAAATAAACGTGCCGCAGCTGTTGGCACTCCCGCTCCTTACACCCTTCTTTTTTCTTATTTCTGACTGGCAGAGAGGGCTTCTGTGGCCTCAGGTTCCTGTATTCCGACTTTGGTTCTCTTTTCTCCATTCTCTGGTTAGACGTGTGTCCCCATCAATCAAAATAGATGAGAATGAAGTAAAAGCAGTAGGATGAATTAATCAGTCCATACTTTATAATGAAAGCACTGTGCACTTTAAAAGAATTTTGTAAATAAATAATAAAGATCTGTATTAGTATATTTTGATAATTTCTACTTTTTTAGCTAAACAAATGGTAATAAATTTTCACCATACCGCTGTTAAATTTTCCTGACCGTGTGAATAACATTGTGCTGAACAAGTTGCTACCCTAGCTTGTGGTTTAACCTGTGTTCAAAAGCTCTCTACTTTTTCACAATCTTTTAGCACCCCATGTTTAAAGCTCAATTTCGGGAAAGCTTATGCTTGCTTTCAACATTTTCAGAGACTTCTGTCTTTTGTTGTGATTTGTATTCCAGCTCTCATCTCCTTTATATGGATTGTTCTTCCTTTTCCTTATTTTTGTGTTGTGTCAGCAACATGGAATGAGAGTGTATCAGGAAGCCGTGGGACAGAATATTCATGTTCATAGCAAGTGTGCAGCCCTGCTTCTCCCTGAAACAGGCCTGCACCCAAGACATAAGCAGCAATCCCCAGATGGGACTCGGCTTTGATCTTACTAGGGCTCCCTCCTCCCTACTGACCCAGCTGTGCACAGAACAGGCCCAGTTAATGACTGCACTTGGTGTTCCTGTAAGGAAAGGGAAAAAAAGAGGACAAAGGGTCAAATGGTTAGAAATTTAATCTCATTTGATGCACACTAGAAAGTTCTTGTATTACAGAATTTGGTAGTTTTCAATTTTATTTCTTGCTTGCTTGCTTTTTTTTTTCTTTTTTTATAGCAGTAGTTTAACATTGATGCCAATTACCTTAAGCTAAATATCATGTAATCTTACATTATGGTTTACTTGTTTCCTAAAATATTTACAATATGCTGATGACGGTGGAGGGCTCTTTTGCCTAAGAAATCATGTATTTAATAAAGATATTCAACTTAATTAAGTATTTTACAATTCCTATGGGAAAATACAGGCAAAATCAAACTCAGAAGCCATCTTTACTGTTACCTATATCATCCTTTGTCCTCTTAGAACCATCGTGGAATTTATGAATAAGAAAAGTGAGCACACACTGGCAATAATTTATCCTACATAGCAAATTTTCTCTTAGCACAAGAGTTAATTCAGAGTGTGATATATAGATAAAAATGAGTAAGTTAACAAATAAATTTGCAGAGTGTAATGTTACTCTGACTTTCTGCTTTAAAACTTACATTTTCAATAATGACTGTACTTTAAAGAGAAAGACTGAAATATGAAGAAGAAAGACAATCATAATTTTTAAGTGTCATTTTTATGACTTGGCAACTATTTCTCTCACTGACTGAAGAAGCTATTATGTAGTTACTTTTTTAAAAAGCTGAGTGAAATAGCATATTCACTCGTATTCAGAAACAAGAGTTTCAAAAGCTGATCATACTTTCTTCTTTAATCAAAGTTTGGAAAATAATGTTTAATACTCTTAATTACTCTGGTTGAAGATCTTATTATAATATAGACTATATCAAACTTTTTAAAGGACCTGAAACATATATACACACACACACACACACACACACACACACACAAATGTAGATCTATCTATTTACCTAACTTTATGCACATCCTTTGGAAACTCAATTTTTGTAGTGTAGAACATAATGTGTTACTGTATGCGATTAAACATTTTGATTGATTTTAATATGAAATAATAACATGTTTAAATAAGCCATAATTTTGCTAGAAACAAGTAAGTCATTTTATATTTTGAAATTTTGCTGTATTAAAACCATCTAAATGACATTATAAACAATGACAGAATATTTTTATTTGTCTAACAATAATGTCTATGATTCAAGGACTTGTATAAATCATTAAGACAGGTAGTTTAATTTCATTTATGCAGGAAGTTATGAGCCATATTAGGATGCATCAATAACAAGTACTTTCTAAAGGTGTAAAAAGATGACTTGGGAGCATCTCAAAAACCAATAAGAACCTAACCATCAAAGTTGAAAAGGGTGAACAAGCATAATACATTTATTTTAGAAGATAATGCATGGTAGAATTGCTTGGGATAGCTCGAGAGGTTTACCACATTTTGGGGGTGTCTGAGTGGGTAGTGGAGAGGAAGCATGGCTATGGGGACTGTGTGAGGTCTCTGGCCCCTTCCTCTATGAGTCTTTTCTCCTGCTCTGATTTCTGGTCATTATGGACTCAGGAACTTCATTGTGCAACATTCTTCTGCCATCATGCTTGTGTCTTTGAGTAAATTGGGCGCAGATTGTAAACATGAATTAAATCAAAATTCTCCTTTAAGTCTTGGATATATAATATTGTGTATCAGAAGAAGAGAACTGATAAATACAGAAAAATTGGAGCAAAAGAGGCGATCTTTTTGTGATTCTACCTAGTGAAGTTGTCTGAAAACTTTTGGAACTGGCTTATGGAAGGAAATTGGAAAGCATTGGAAACACAGATTGTAGATGTACTAAAATGCTATAAGCAAAACTTCAGGGGTGAGTCTAGTGGGAGCTCAGATCATACTGATGATAGGAATGCAGAGATGAAAAGCCAGGGTTTTTAAGTTTCAAGTGCAAATGAACTATACTGGGAAATGCACTAGAGACCATGAGCTGATGTTCTGGAAAAGATGCTGTTTCCAATTTGTCCAACCAATAAGACTTTTTTAAAAAACTGAGATAAAGGATAATACACTAATTATGCTAGCAAAGGAAATTGTAAAGCTGTCTAACCTTTAGAGTACCCTTTAGTCTTTGTTGGCTGATTTACCAAATTTTCATGAGTATCAGGGGCAAGAAAAACAAAACAAAACAAAATCTCATTAAGAGATTATCATCTATAAAAAGAAAACAAGGGGCTGGGGGTTTAACTCAGCGGCATAAGCACCAGCCTTGCAAGCAGGCGGTTCTGAGTTCAATCCCCGGTACCGATAAAAAAATGAAAAAGACAAAAAAAAAAAAAAAAAAAAAAAAAAAAGAAAGAAAACAAGTACTTTCTAAAGGCATAAAAAAAAGATGACTTGAGAGCATCCCAAAAACCAGTAAAGTCCTAATCATCAAAGTAGAAAAGGTTGAATAAGAATAATACATTTATTTTAGAAGATAACGTATGGTAGAATTGCTTGGGAAAGTACACTATTAGTAATGCTTCCCAAGATTTATTTTGATGCTGTCAGTTATCCAGATTCTGAGAGGTCATTGCAGTCAAGGTTTAAAGGTGTCCAGTTACTGCTCAATTTGAGAGCAGATCTTGGCATCATCCACATGATGCTGTTTTTTACCAATATGCAGAAATGAAGAGTTGTGGAATTAGGAAGATGTCTATCTAGATTTCAGAATAGGGCTGAGGAGGCCAAGCAAGGATCTCCTATGAGTGCAATCTGTAAAGCTGTGGGAATAAAGCAGAGAACAAGGCAGAAAGTCAGGGATGCCAGAAATATGAACCATTTAGTAAGGAAAACTAGAGGTCTGGAGTGGACACTGCTCAAGACAGAGACCAAGTGAACTGCAACTAACAAAGCCATAGTATTAGGGCTACTTAGGCACTCTGGAACTCAAATTTCATCCTTGTTTGCCTTCAATGCCAGCTATGATGCTATAGAACTTAATAGTTGCCCTGTTGGATATTGCTTATTGTCTTGGTTGTTTTATCATTGCTGGGATAAAATGCCCAATGCCCAAAATTTAAGAAAAGAAAAGTTTGCTGAACTCACAGTGTGTGGAAGTTTCAGTACATAATCAGCTGGCTCCAAGACAAAGTGATGTGACACAGGCAACACTTCAAGGCAGGAGAAGACAGAAAAGGCAACAATAGCAAAAGATGGATACAAGCCTCTTTTCTTCCTTATATTGTATGCAGGCTGTGCCCTCAGTTGAGTGTAGCACTCACATCATCTCTGCACCCTTCTCATGTGCAGGCTCACATGAGGACCTTGGGCCCATCCTGGATCACTTAGTTAAACTGCTAAACTTCTCAAATTGACACAATGAGCAATACCCTAGAGTCCTGAGAACATGCCCTCTGTACACTAGAGTAGAACAGCTAGTTATTTAGTTAAGCTTCTAGATTTCTCCAGTTGACAAAGTATATTAACCATTCCAATCATGCTTTAACTTGATTTGATTCTAGTCACCTTTTCACTACATATGGAAGAAGAATGTTACCCCTGCACCAGTCTCCTTTGGGATTGCATTACTCCTTTTTGATTTTCACCAAAATATAAAACTAAGCATTGACTAGATTTGGACTTGGACTTTTGAAAAATTCTGGAATTGTTGAGATTTGGGGGGAAAGTTGTTGCATTCCAGCTGTACACAGGATATTTGTTATTATGTAAGACAAAATTATGAACTTTCTATTGTTTTCATTTGGAAAATAAATTTGATTTAAGGAGATGTGTTTTGATGTGATTTTGACAAGGACTAGGATATGATAGCTATGGTAGAGTGTCAACCTCATTAACTTTGAGATCTGATAAGTTTTAGTGATGTACACTTCTTGTTGTGTCTGGGTGAGACATTAACTTGGATCTATGTCCAGTCCCTCATTCTTCCTCTCTGTCACTGTTCTCTTGCTCTGCATCCTGGCCACAAATATTGTCTGACTGCCTTTGCTGCATCATGCCATTCTACCATGATTAAAAAGCAGAAATGCCGCTTTGGAGCTGGCTAATCATGGACTGAGTCTCCTTAAAATATGAGCTGAATTAAACCTCCTCTTTTCCTTTAATTTGTGGGTGTCCACTATTGTTTACAACAACTTGAATACTCACTAATATATCCTCCTTTTGACAATTGGACAAACCAGATATAGAAGTTGGTATGATGGGTCAAACAGATCAACAAATCAGTTCTCTGTTCTCACAGTTTAACTTTATTTCAGTTTTCTAAATATATGTCTGGTGAACTGTAAATCAGGAAAAATATAGTAAAAGTAGGACACACTACAGAAAAAATATTAACATTGTATATTAACTAATATCTGACCAAATATTATACAGCTGAGCCATTAATTAGTCATACACTGGTCATGAATCCAAAGAAGATGTTTACAATGATTCACACCCTTAACATGATAAATTTTACTATTATCTAATAAATGAGACTTCTTTTAGATGAAACAATTAGAAAATAATGCCAACATTATTCTTTAATAATATGGAAACTACCCTAAGTGAAACAAAGTTTTCTTTAGAAATAAGAATATAGTTAAATAAAGACAGAAACAATTTGTTGGGAGCCGTGGCACTGTCAAGTCATCAGACGCGGTGATTGCGAGGCCTGTGGGAAAGTACAAAAGCCTGGGCTAGATTACCCCTCTCATCGAGCCCGCCTGTGTGGCACCTGTTTCTTATCACCCCACTAAGTTCCCGCCTCACAGGGTAGTCTGCCTAGCTATTAATCCTATATATAGCCAGTGCCTCCACCCCCGAGAGAGAGAGAGAGAGACTGAAGCACAAAAGGAGCCGCGGGGAGCGGACCGGTAGAGGCTTCGGGGCAGACTGAAGCACGGAAGGAGCCGCGGAGAGCGGACCGGTAGAGGCTTCGGGGCAGACTGTATAAGGAGAGAATAAAGAAAAGCCTGACCACCGCCAGACCTTGTCGTGTGTCTTTCCTGCCGGCCGGGAGCGGACATCGACATTTGGAGGCCCGCACGGGGATTGATCAACCCCGAGACGCGGTGGTGGACTGCATTCTCCTACACAGTGCTGCAGCTGCAGGACAGGTGAGTAGAGGATAAGCCTGGGCCCTGGGTGGCGCGCACCTACAGGGTTTGTAGACTCCTCTCAACCTCACGCGTAAGTGGCGGGTTTCTTGGGCCTCATGCGGTGAGTATGAAACATAACACCAGAACTTAAGGTAATAAAAGAGTGTAAAACATAAACATAGAAGTAAAAATAACAGAAGATATATTAAAAATGGGAAACATGCCAAGTAAAGATACACAGCCTTGGTGTTGGTCCTTCGGAGACTCCTAAAGTCCAAGGACCTCAAGGTGGGGCGTAAGACTTTAGAAAATTTCCTTGCAGAGATTGACAGCTTTGCTCCCTGGTTTCTGCCTACAGGGCATGTAAACCTGCCCTCCTGGGAAAAGTTGGGCAGAGACCTTTCCCTAGCAGAGCGGGAGGGTAGAGCTTCAGTCTCTGCTCGTCCATTGTGGGAAATGATACACGCGTGCCTAAAGAGTGAGGGTAGTTACGGGGGGAGCTCTCAAGAACTTGTAGAAGTACGCGAGGTGTTTGAACAGGCACAGTGAGGAAGCTCCCGAGAAGGGTCCGTCAAGGAGGGCAGAGATACAAAAGAGGAAGCCGAGGCGCGGTTTGTGTCTTTCCGCAGGAATCGGGACGAGAGCCAATGTGGGTCCCAGAGAGGTTGACGCGACAAGTCCCTCGACTGAAGATCAGGCCTGTTCCACCAGAGGCCAACCGCAGACCCAACAACAAGATGAGCCCTAAAAGAACTGCAGGACAATCCCTTTTTGGGGGCCTGGAATGGCTTGCTCCCCTATGTGCTACCCTTGTATACGCATGGCTCGCTCGCATGGCCTACGACCGCGTTTAAAAGTGACAGGCTTCCCACATTCTCCTCCCTAGACAACAACATGTAGCAGGGTGGGTGAGTCAATGACGGGTAAGAGCGTGCCTCCCCAGCACGACTCAACCTAAGCCAGGCCCTACCCCGTTCCGCTCGAAAGCCGCTGGATTGTTAGATAAATTTCTCTCCGAGGGGATTCGTGGAGAGAAATGAGTGCATGCCTATGTGCAACCAGGTTCCGTCCGGTTCATTCCTGGCCCTAGAAAAAAGGACGAGGGCCTTAGGGCCTTGGTGGACCCTGGGACGGCCGACCAGGGTCTACGCTAAGGGCCTACGGTGGGCCTCAGTTCGGGGCATAGGCCTCTGCACTCTATCCAGGACGGGCTGCGATGCACGTAGCCATCATTTAAAATAAAATAGGGGGAGATGTTGGGAGCCGTGGCACTGTCAAGTCATCAGACGCGGTGATTGCGAGGCCTGTGGGAAAGTACAAAAGCCTGGGCTAGATTACCCCTCTCATCGAGCCCGCCTGTGTGGCACCTGTTTCTTATCACCCCACTAAGTTCCCGCCTCACAGGGTAGTCTGCCTAGCTATTAATCCTATATATAGCCAGTGCCTCCACCCCCGAGAGAGAGAGAGAGAGAGAGAGAGAGAGAGAGAGAGAGAGACTGAAGCACAAAAGGAGCCGCGGGGAGCGGACCGGTAGAGGCTTCGGGGGAGACTGAAGCACAAAAGGAGCCGCGGGGAGCGGACCGGTAGAGGCTTCGGGGCAGACTGAAGCACGGAAGGAGCCGCGGAGAGCGGACCGGTAGAGGCTTCGGGGCAGACTGTATAAGGAGAGAATAAAGAAAAGCCTGACCACCGCCAGACCTTGTCGTGTGTCTTTCCTGCCGGCCGGGAGCGGACATCGACAACAATTAAAACATACTTTTAAAAATTCATCCATATTAGTCAGTTAGTAGGCATAATGTATTTGTCATTGTACAGAAATTTGACTAGAGCAAGAATGATTTTTTGTGGCAAAGAAAATGGAAATGCAAACATTTTTGTAGTGTTTGAATTAGAAATTAGCATCTTTAGTGATTTACTGGTAATCAAAGCAATGTTGAATCTGCAACATTGACAGATACCAGGCAAAGGAGCTCTCTTGGTCACTTTCTTCTCACTTGAGAAAAATATCCAATGCAAAAACTTAAATGGACAGAAGTTATTCTGGCTCAGGTCCTACAGGCTTCACTCCATAGTTTCAATATTCCACAACATAAAGTATGGTAGAGGAAGGCTGCCAAAAACAATATCCTTCCAGGTCGTACCCTAACTCACCTCTAATCAACACCCATCTCCTAACAGAACTCATTAATGAATGAATCCACTGAGTATAGAACCTCCAACAACACCTTTTGCAACACCTTCCAAAAGTCTCACCTCTGATATAATTGAACAAATAGTTGAGATCGGTTTGCCAATGGCTATGAAACATGATGCATAAAATGAATTTATCTGAGAGATTCAGAGAGAACCCAGATAATATTGCTTGAATCACTAAATCTATTTATTTCTGAAATTAATTGTTTCTTTTATTATTTTAGCCATGCGAGAGAATAAATTTCAAATTTTGCCCAAATAGAGTGAAAATTCTTTTATCAGAATGGAAAGTAACATTGGTTCATAATTTACACAAGCAGAATAAACTAGAATACAAAGACACTGTGTAAGAAAACAAAACTTTAATCACCCACAAGATATTGCAGGAAAATTTTTGAAGGTTCCATATTTTTAGAAAACATTATAAAAACTCTTATTTAAAGTTAATGATTTGATGGTTCCTTGCATTATATTAATTGTTATTATTCAAAAACATCATATTATTTTGTGCTGATACATGTTTCCCTGTAATAGAATCAGAATTATTACTTCAATTGCATGAAATTTTGACCAAAATTTCTCATATATTTTGTTATGTAGACCTTATATTTAGTGTCATTTTTTGTGAATGTTTCCTGTTAAATTATATCTGGATGTCTTTCTCAAACCTGAAGTGCTTGCAGGTAGGGCTTTTTGGAGTCCGGGGACAATGGATTTGTGACACTGGATCCTAGGGGAGTGATTCTACTGAGATGTTTAGCACAGTTATGGGTATGAATGATCGACTTACTAAAGAGGAAAGACCTACTCTGGGTCTGGGTGGCACCAACCTACAGGCTTGCAGCCTGGATGAACTACAAAGGGAAAGAAGAAGGAAGTCCTGCTGCTTGCTGCCTACTCTGCCAAGGACTGTTTCTCCTCTGCTATGACCATCTTTCACAGCACCCTGCATGAAGGTCAGCTGAGTATGCACTGAAACCTCAACACACTATGAGTTCAAATAAACCTTTCTTTGCTTAACTTGTAGGTATGAAATATTTTATATCAGCAACTAAGAAACATCCTGATTTCCACTTCTACATTTATTATAATATCATTTAAATGTACTCAATCACAATAGCCTTTTTATTTTTCTTATCTGTCTTGTTATCGTATAGTTTTAATAACAATCAAACTTCAAGATTAAGCAAAAGAAATGTTCCCCATTACAAAAGAAACATGGACTGCATGTACAATTTATAGGACACCAAAGATTTTTCTATGGATTCGTAAAAATTAGACTTCAATAAGAAATTATTGTGTTAATATAACATGAAGCTAGCATTACTCATATGTGACACAATTATGAGGCAAAAGATGTTTTTATTAACAATTTTTAACTTTGTTAATAATTTCCTTTCATCTTTCTTTCTTTCTTACTTTCCCTTTCTTTATTCTTTTTTCTTTCTTTCTCTCTCTCTTTCTTTCTTTCTTTCTTTCTTTCTTTCTTTCTTTCTTTCTTTCTTTTTTCTTCCTTCCTTCCTTCCTTCCTTCCTTCCTTCCTTCCTTCCTTCCTTCCTTTCCAGAGATCAGACTCATGACCTTGCACTTCCCAGGCAGGTGCTTCTTCCACTGCCCTAAGTCCCCAGCCCATAATAATATTCTTAATTTTAATAAGAAATTCAACTTCCTTATAAGTTGCTCATGTTTTTAAAATTCTAGTGAACAGATAAGTATAAAAGTACACATTATAAAATCACCGGAGACATGTTTTAAAAGAAGCAGATAGGATAAATTTAATGAAAAGCAAAGAAAAAAGATTATAACAAAATAAGACAGAACTGAAACTTTTATGGTTACTATGGAGACTGGAATACTTGTGAAATTACCCTACTAAAAATGACTCTAAACAAGTTAAAAGTAAAATAATAATATTTTACTTTTAATAAAAATTGTAATACATATAAATACTTTTACTTATTAATATATACTTTTATTATAAAAAGAAGAAAGAAGAGAAGAAGAAGAAGAAGAAGAAGAAGAAGAAGAAGAAGAAGAAGAAGAAGAAGAAGAAGAAGAAGAAGAAGAAGGAGAAGAAGTCTTAGAAGAAATCATTTAAGAAACTTTACCTAAAAATTACACTTGTACTTTAATGTTCTAGAAATGAGAAATGAAGAGGCAATAAAAATGACCTACTTATTGAAAATAATTGAGAATCATAAAAAATATCCATAGTAGTCCCTGAAAAATTCTTAGAAAGCCTAAATAACTGAAGCAAATATAAAGGGTAGAAACTTCTAACTAAGTTAATCAAATATCTCTATCAGTGTACTTCCATTTAGAGGACCTGAAAAACTTAGACAAATATGAGAGTGTACAGACTTTTAAATATACTAATCAAATATTTCTGCTATTTTATTTCCATTCTGTGATGTCATATAATTCCACTTGTTTTTACCTTTTGACAGTTACTAAGCTTATAGAAGAAATTTCACACATTATCCTTGTTACTGAATCTGTACAATGTAGTTTCATAAGAGAATTAATGGCTTAAGGGGTAATGGGTGGAAATAGAATGTTATTATTTTGTAAATGTTTATGGTAAGTGAATATAATCCTGGATGTTGCCTTAAGTGCAAATTTAATATATTTTGAAAATTTTATTTGTGAAAAACATGGGAAGCCATTACTCAAAATAATATACGTTAATGTATTTAATAAACTCAAAACCACTACCTAAGTATCTTCTAAGTAGGGAAATGATTTCAAGAGTTAGAAAACAAGTTAAGCTAGTTATAATTGATTCAAAAACTGAAAAATACACATGATATTTGCCCATGGGAATTATAACACTAGATAGGAAATGATAACTGTCTCTAAACAAAATTGCTAAATGTTATATTTCCAAAGCAAAATAAAAATGTTTATGAGAGATTTCAGTGAATATTCTTAGAGTACAAAATTTTGAGCTTGCCCTTAGAACATTCCTGTGGTAACAAAAGATGAGACAATACACTCAAAAAGACAGAAAAAATACAAACATTGAATGTGTGAGGCATTTAAAAATAAGATGGCGATTTCTATTAGAAATGAAAACATAGGTTTTGAAATTGAGTAATCATACAAAGTGCAGAAATTCCCTTTAAGTAAAGATTCATAGGGCTTGAATACCTTGCAGGAGGCAAACACAAAATTTTGCTTTATTTAGCATATCACACATACTGTACTAATACACATATGTAATATGTAGTAAGTGTTCAAATTTATTTTCCAAAACCTCAGTTAACACTTTTTCCTAACTGAGTAAGCACTTTTTTCAATTTATACTATCAAAAATGCTATATGATAACCTGAAAACTGAACTGAAAATGTAAGTGGGAATTAAACACTGAAAAATCTTCAGGGCACTATAATATACATTCTTGCATTATTTTTAATTCTGTAAAAGTTACAAAACACAAGAAATGTTTAAGCAGGAGATTTGCATAAGAATTCTAATCACAAGAGGTTATAGGAAAAAATATTAGGAAATGTAATGTATAAGCCAAATATGTTAATTCCATTTGTTATAAAGAGTGATAGGTTAGCTAATTTGGTGAGTTTGTTTATAGTCATAGTTCTCAGGCCTACATGGAAATTGTTCAATAACCACATTTCATCCCAGAATCATTATATCAAAATTCTGAGAAAAGAAACAAACAGAAGATTAAAACTACTAGCTTATGAAGTAGTCTAACAAATAAAATTGTCTACAAGTATTCTTTACTAACAGTGATTAGATTGTCTTTAATTTTAAGTGCAGCAGATAATGTTAATGTATTAATTTTCCAATGATCACACTTCATCCCAGAGAAGTTGTATAAAAACTCTGAGAAAAGAAACAAGCAAATGTTTAAAACTACCCTCATGAACCAATCTAACAAGTGAAATTATCTACAAGTATTCTTTTCTAACACTGATTAGCACATCCTTTTTATTTTTAACGTTAATGTGCTAAACTTCAAACAAAATTAGTAACCCCTTGTTTTATTAATGTCATTTCAGAATTTTCCTTAATCTATTATAATTTTTATGTTCTTGTTCTCCTCACATTGCAGGCAGAGTGAATTCCTATGTATTCATTTGGAATGTGCTTTCTAAGTGATAAGTCTAAATCTTTATTCTTCAAAAACATACAGACTAACAAGTATTTAGAGTGAGACACAAATCAGACAGTAAGTATGATATAAACATCATTTCTTGAATTTACTAAGTGCATTTCATATCAGTTAAAATGACTTAGATATCTATATTACAT